CTGGGCAAAGGATTATGGGGGGTCCCTGGAAGAGAATGAGATGGGTAAGAGGTTGGGACGTAATCAGGATGGATGGGCACAAGAAATTTCAGGGTGAGCATGGGCTGACTGGTGTGGGTCGGTCAGAACAAGCGGTGAGGCTTCTCATCAACTACACCAACGAGCGCTTACAGCTGCTCTTTTGCCACCAGGTCTTGGTCAAAGAACAGGCGAGTTTTCTTGCTGACCGTCTGACCGCAGTGTGTTCAAGACTTCAAGAGCATGGGAATCAGCATCTCAATGGCCTCAGGCTCGCCATATCCTAACCATTTGGTGGAGTGACCTACTCCTAGATGGGAAGAGTCCTACATGCATGGCTTTGTGACAATGATCCCTTGCAGGAGGCCTACCTCTCAGAAGGTCTTCTGTTTGAGGATCTGCCAGCCCCGTCGCATGATGGGCAGGCCGTTGCTTGGTGATGGAAGGACGGGAAGGGCGGAAGGGAAAGGGCCGAAAGGAGAGATGGACTTGGGAGCCTGCAATTGGACATAGTCGGATTGGGAAAAGGCCTGATCTGATTCACAAAGGGAACAAACAAATCCTACTTCAGAATGGGTGATGCAGACTTCATACGTGTAATGGATGATGCACAAACATTCATCAACTCCAGGAGGCACATCGCAGAGCCGGACATGGGTTCAATGTACATGCATGTGTCCATGGTGTGAATGAGTATCCATCGCACCAAAGTTCCTTGAGACAAGGTCCTCACGACCTTGGATGGTATCCTGGATGTGCTGGATGATTGGACGCTGCGGCGCCTGCGTGCCGGAGGCTCTTAGCCTTGGGGGTGGAACTTGCGGACTTGCCGGGCGAGTTGAAGCCATCCGCTGGTCAACTCCTCACTGATGAGTCATAGCAATGGCCTCCCCCCCATCCTCCCCCTAATAGCAATGGCCTCCAACCTAGGGAAGACCTCCCCCCTAAGGATTCATTGCACAGGATGCTCATTCTGTCCTGCCTTCTCATGCTCTCCCCGGTACCCAGGCGACCTCTCCGACGAGGCCTTCGCGCGGGCCGTCGCCGGATCCCCGCGCGCGCGGGGTCGATCCGTGCTGCGCAGTGCGGTGGCGCCGGGGTTTGCTGTGCGGCACTATGCTGGGGAGGTGGCTTGGCTCACTTGGCTCTTGGATGCTCTTGGTGATGTCATGTGTTCAACGGATGGCAGCTTCAAGCTATCTCAGAAGCCAGGGGCAGCAACTTCGGAAGCAGGGCCGGGTCAACTTACAATGGCTAGGATCCAACTGCTGCTCATCCATGACTGTCACATCTGTCACCCACCAGCAAGAACTCTACTACTGACTCGTAACTTAGGACTTGTCGAACATACATGGCGATTCCGGAGGCCTACGTCACTACACAGTAGTATAGATAATTGATTTTTGTGGTCATGCGATCTTGAGATCTCTCCAGATCTTTGAAGCGCCAGTATTGGAGTCTTCAACTGCTGAAAACCAGGTTAGCTGTTTGCTCCACACGTCCCCACCTGTCAGTTTCAGACTCGGAGCTTCCCTCCTTTCCTTTGGCTTCCGCCCCCCTCGGAGCTGAAACACGACGGTATCTAGGTGGCCTACCGCTGCAGCGGCTGGCTGGATGCGAATGACGCGAAGGTTCAGCCGGAGGTCCTGGAACTGCTGAGCTGCGGGCAGCGCCGGTGGCTTTGCCCACAGCAGCCGAAGAGGAGATCTGAGGATAGATGAAGGTAAGGTGGGAGATGGGGTGGAGTGGTGGGGTAGTGCCCTTAGACAGGGTGAGGTATGTTATGTTGTTGAAAATCATTGGCGCTTGACGCATCAGGTGGTTTTAAGAATTTTTAAGCAGTTGTGAGGATGGCTTTCTTTCAAGCACGTTTTTTTTCTCCTTGTAGGCAGTGAAGAAGGTGTCCACCCAAAGAAGCGAGGGCAGGGTTTTGAGACGGAAGATTGCAGCGAAGCAGTGGAAGCAGCGGGTTCTGATTCGATGTTAGGGCCGAAGAGACACACGACCATTCCGGCGAAGAGCATGTGTAAGACAGGGACCATCATGTGGCACTTGTTGGTCTTGAGCATGTGGGCTTTCTGGTTCCAGGTTGGTAACTCAGCTTGGATTGTCATTGAATGTACGTGGTCGCCCCACGGATAGGTTTCATTGATAGATTCAGGATTTTCAAGACTTGTTCCATCATGCCGAAGTCACTTGTTGGATAGTTCAACAATGTTCAAGAACCATCATCATCAGCTGGGGGGTGAGTGGTATAGACCCAGTTGATGCTATGGACATCGGACTATGGACCAGTCGTTTGTGATGGCAGTGAAAGAACGAGTCATTTGAAGCTTCTTTTTTGTTTCGTGCAACTGGTCATCTCTCCTCAGGAGCCACTCAGCACCTCGCCTTGGAAGCTTTGGAACCCACCAGAAGTGACAAAAGACCACAACGAACGGAATGTCAAGAGCTTGAACCTACAGAAGGACCGCAGCCAGGCAGGCTGGCAAGACATATGAGCCATATCTCTTTCTTTCCGCATCGTAGGCTGAGACTGGGGCTTTCCGTGCAGCGCTGGGAAAAAAACCCACCGCCTTTGCCAGGCTTCGAACTGGGGAAGCCTCGAAGATCCCCTCCCCCATCCTCCAAAAGCCAGGTACTTTAATGGGATCTCCGAGAACGCTTGGGCTCGAGAGGCTCCAACGTGTGTTACGTGGCGCCTGGTGCCACGTCGGTCGGTCGGTCGCCTGCAGCCTAGGTGAACAAGAAGCATCGCACAGATCTCAGTGCCTTGCTGATGAAGCTGCAGAACACGCATGGCTTGCACTTCATCCGCTGCTTCCGCCCCAACAAGGACTTGGGGAAGAATTCAGAAGGGCATGCTCCCAGCAATAAAAGTATACAATTTATTGTGCACTGTATATGTAATATTATACTGTGCAATAGTAGCAATGGGCCCAACAGATGAAAACACATGCTCCGAAAGACATCGCGCAGTCAGTCAAGGTGATTGATTGATTGATTTGATTGGATTGGATTGGATTGGGTTGTGTTGGGTTGGATTGGATTCGATTGGATTGGATGGATGGATGGATTGATTGACTGATTGATTGGCGACAGGCCCCCAAACACCAGCAGGTGAATCACTGGGCATTCTTCCGGGCCTTTTCTCTTGCAACATCAACACCGGCCCCGTTGGGAAGAGAAGGGGCGGTCTTTGGATTAGCTCTTCTCTGAAACACATACGTCATACTTGTATCTCTACAGGTGTGTGTTGGGGGTGATTTTCGCCTGGTGTAACTTCGAGGAGCAGAGTGGCGAGTACCTGGACCGAAGCTTCTTGGCGCGGCAGCTGCGGGCGCAAGGCGTGCCCGAACTGCTGCAGGTCGTGGGGCAGGGCTTTCCCCATCGCGTGCCCATCGCGGAGGCGCTCGGAGACCGCGGAGACGGCGGAGACGGCGTTGACCAGTGTATGTGGGACGTATCAGGAGTTGTCCCACTTGGGGTGTGATTTGTTGCAATGGCACTAGGACACTAGGATGTCCTGAGGTCTTTCCGTTTAAGCAATTCAGACCACGAGAAAGTTTCCTCACGAAACTTGGAGGAGAGACTTGGAGGCACAGGGTTCCGGTGGTGTTTGTCCTCAAGTGTCTTCAAATGAAACACTTGGAAAGTGCCTCCATGCCACCACTTTCCAGGGCTCTCTGGTAGCAAACCTGCGTGTTTTCGGTGGCATTGGGTGGTGAATGCCGTCGGAACACGGCAACGACACCGTTCGCCCTGGGAGAGATCGAACAGAATTCGATCAGTCACAGGGCGTTTGGATCCATTTCGGTGTTGATTTTGCCAAGCGAGTCATATTGATTCAGGCAAAAACCAAGGGTTCAAATGCCCAGGGGCGCACCCAAGTAACAAAACAACATATTCCTAACCCACTTGCTTACTACGGCATGTTAGGGCAATAGGCGCAGCCGGGCCGAAGAGTTGACTCTGAACCTGCGCCGCCTTCTTTACCACAGGTGGTGAAGTCCTTCGCAGCGTGCAGCTTGGAGAAGCAGCTGCCAACGCGATCACAGTATCTTTTTTGGCAGGATGTTAGCAACATGATGTCCAAGACACACTGAGCCATTCTCTTCCCGTTTTTTAATTGCGAAGGCTTCACTTTGATGATCGCCTGCTCAGTGGCTAATTGAATCCCTTTCGTTTTCATTGCCAAAAGGCTCTGTGGCCTTTGCCCTAGGCTTCCAAACACCATTGATTTAATAGCCTTTACCAAAGAACCCTGGTTTGACTATGGATTTGATACTGCAAAGCCGGGTCAATTTTTCCTTCAATGGTCTTGGATTGGAAGGCGGTTCGGCTTTCCTCTCGTTTCGTGGTTTCGGTCTGAGCAGAGAGGTTTCAAGAGCCCGAGGCCTCGAGGGTGCCAAGGGCTTGAGCGAGCGCATGCAGCTCGAGGTGCTCATGCATGCCTTTCAGGCCGCCCGAGCCAGTGGTGAAGTACAGGTTGGAGCCATAGTTGAAGCCTTTAAGAAGCCATGGGAGGAGGTTGGAATGGACCTTGGAGACTGGACTGGAAAACCCATGGTTTTGTAAGGAAGGGGTTCATTGGCATCCATTTGGCTGGCTGGGGGGGTGGTTTTGTTTCCAGGCAGCCCCAGATGGCTTCAAAAAGAGCCAAGGACAGCTGGATTATGCATGATTTTTCTTTCTGTTCTGTCAGTTCATTGACCGCACAGATCTCCACAGTCTTTTCGGGACGCCTTCTTTTCGACGCCTGAGCCGCAAACATCTCCTGATTTTCCTCTCCAAGGTGGGTTGTGGCACCGGGTAGTTGCGGGTTTGAAGCACCGCCATGTTCCAATGCTTGCCTGGTGCTTCAAACCATCGATCGCTTGCATGCGCCCCTCTCGTGCTCCTCCTCAATTTGCCACAACGAGGGAGCTTGGCGACGAGATAGAGGCGCTTGGAAACAGCCGATTTCGGCAGAGAAGCGATGAATGGGAAGGTTTCAGAGCTTTCCAGCGCTCCTGGCTGAGTTGGAGAAGCTCCCCCAGCGAAAGTTGGACCGTCTTCGGTGGTTGGACCTGATTGACGCCATCCGAACACCGAAAGAGTTGGGGATCGTGATCGGTGCCTTGGGCAAGAGGTCCAGCTGGCGGGCCGCCGTGGCCTTGTTGCACTGTGCCTTGTGCCATGGTGGCCGTCTACAACCAGATCTGATCGTCTACAACCGTGTGATGGCCGCCTGTGAACGCGATGGTGCGTGGCCTTGGGCCTCTTCGCTCCTGGATGCCCTGACGAAGCGAGGCCTCGTACCCGATGAGGCCAGGGCTTTTAGGGCAGCGGAGCCTACAGGAACGAGGAAGCCGTGTGGGCTTTATGGGTCGGATTTGTTAAGTCATGTTATTATATGTCTATGTTCCCTTTGTATGCTAGTAGCTTCGTGCCACTAGTAGTAGTAAGGCACTTAGTTACGAGCGATGCACCTTGTTACTAGCAGCTTCTTGCTACTGCCTTTTGGACTTTTTGACCTTTCATCCTCCACTCCTCCACTCTAAACTCTTCTGAAGCTCCCGGCCATCTTTTGAGAGTCCAGGTCACATGGAACACCTTGATCAGTGCTACTGGTCGTGGCTTTCGTTGGGACCTGTCACTGGCGCTGCTGTCCGAGATTCAATGCCAGTTGGGGGTTAGCACTTACAGCTTCAACTGTGCACTGGGTGCCTGCGAACGTGCTGGGCGATGGGAGGCGGCCATTGAGCTTTTGGCACGGATGGGTCGGCAAAAAGCTCAAGCAGATGAGATCTCCTTCAGCTCATTGATCGATTCATGTGAGAATTCGTGGCCAGCCGCGGTGAACGCCTTGCAACAGATGTTGGATGCAGAGTTGCGACCCAACGTCATTACGCACAGCTCCTTGATCCGTGTGTGCGCTACTGGGAGCCAGTGGCAGATGGCCCTGAACCAGTTGAAGGTCATGCGCACCGAGGCAGTGTTGCCAAACCGGATCACCATCAACATCGTATTAAGGTCCTTCACCAGCAGTGCCAATTGGCAGCTGGCCCTGCAGCTGATGCAAGATGCCTTCTCTAGCGACACTAGGCCCATCGGCACTGCTCCCGAAACAAGTCCGCGGGGACTCTTTCAAACCCGCCCAAGTCACTCTGGAAAAACAGAACCAGACAAAAATATGGTTGCGCTTTTATATAAATTCATTCATTCTTCCATTCTTTCCTTCTTTCGTGTGCGCTTTCATGTGTTGGTGTCCCACGCCACTCTTCATTCTTCCAGGCCACTCGCCCACGACACCTCTGCGGCGGTGCTGCGTGTTTGTGAGGCTGCAACCTGCTGGGTCACCGCAGTGCAACTGCTGGCGGAGGCAGGACAGGTGGATTGCTACATGCTCAGTGCAGTGATGGGTGCGTGCGAGAGGGGATCGAAGTGGGCGCATGCCTTGGAGCTGCTGGACAGGGCGGTGGAAGATCATTTCGCGGATCACTTCATGTATACAACGGCCATCACTGCCTGTGCTAAGGGGAAGCAGTGGTCGATGGCACTGACACTCTTCTCTCGCGGGCGGCCAGATGTGATCTCCTGTTCAGCAGCGCTAAGCGCGTGCGAAAAGTCTCAGAAGTGGACGTGGGCTTTGCACTTATTTGCGGAGGCAGTGGCTACGAAGCTTAGGCTAGATGTCATGGCGTCAAGTGCAGCAGTGAGCACATGTGCTGCTGCGGGCCACTGGCAGTGGGCATTCCACTTGTTCAGTGGGATGTGCCTGGCTGGAATTCGGCCTGATACCTTTGCCTTCAATGCCGTTTGCAGCTCATGCGACACACCTACGGAGTGGCCTTTGACGCTAATCTTCCTGGACGAAATGAAGGCACAAGACGACCATATGTTTAAGGTGGCAGTTCGTGGTTCCAAGGTGAGAATGCCTCCAATTCAAGCGATTTGTTTCGAAGCAACAAAGACAGTTCAATGACTCTCCATTCACACTTGTTTGATGTTAGGGGCAACATGTGTGGGAGGTTCCTCGCTTTGAAGCGCTACATAGTGCCACAAAGGGCTTTTTTTCAGCCTCCACGCGCCACTACCCTTTTTTGAAACTGGGATGGGAAGAAGCCCTCTATGTATAACTTGTGCCATGATGCCCACTTGGTTGTATCGGGCTACAAGTTCATTTTCATCCACGGTTCATAGTAGTTCATAATGGGGAACTTTGGTGCATTCGCTTTTTGGGTCAGGTAGGATGACCATCTCCCCGGATACGAAAGGAGTTTTGACCATGGCATGTCTGACCACACCCACCGACCGATCCATCGTTGACTGATCCACCGACCGATCGGTCGAGCCGTAGAGGACCAGCACTTGAAACCGAATCTGAAGACCTTCGGCCTCGCCCTCCGCGCCTGCGCGCGCGGACAGCTGTGGCGCCGCGCGGCGGAGCTGGTGAAGTCTGCTGGGGTGCTGGAGATCTGCCTGGATGCAACGGCCTACGTTGCAACTCGAACTTCAAATCATGCTCGATCCGGTCCAAGGGGTTCACGAATTCTCCAGAACGTCCTGAAAACTCGGGTGAGGAAGATGGTGCGTTCCGAGGGAGGAGGAATCCTGGTCAGTTGGAACTCGCGAGTCAGTTGGGCAGTTGGTGTCTGTCTCTACTCTCCGAGTCATTCACATGGAAGTGGAAGAGACCACGTGTTGGTAGAGAAAAAAGGGCCGTTTGGGGGCCTATGCCATCCACCTTCATGAGTATTGCGGTGAGTGTCTATCAGTTGGAAACCAGGGTGAAAACTCGGGTCCAGCGTTCACGAGGCACTGGTGGAGACCTACAGCTCTGTAGACAATGCGCAAGTCGAAGCTCAACATCTCATGGAAGTTCTGGGGGGTGTCAAGCTCAAGCTCACTGATGAGTGCTTTTCAGAGCCCTGCAGCGCCGGAACGGCGGCGTCCCTCTCCCTTCCCCGCCGAGGAAAAGACAGCTTCGAACATGAGATGTTGACTGGTCTACTCATCCTGGCATGGGTCCAGTGACTTCAGAATGATGTGATGTTTTGTGATAACATGTTTTCAAGATGAACATGTAAGTTTATGTGCCCACCTCAGACACACACACACACACACACATACATATTATATATATATATATATATTTATCATGTTCGAGACTGAGGGGATTTCGGAGCTATCGTATTCTGTTGGACCTGCTTCTGATTGGGGATGTCCACTGTCAGAGAACAGCTGAAGGATCCAACATTATTCGTGAAGCCTGCCGGGCTTAAGGAAGGGGTTAGCCGCCGGTTAGCCATGGCCTACAGTTCAGACACCAAGCTATGCTTGGTCCACACCGTTGAGCTGCAGGTGCATGGAACACTCGACGTGACCGAGCAGGATTTGCCCAAAGCCATCCAGGCCATCAGCCAGACGGTGGGCGCAGTGGCCGAACATGACTGGGCATTGGAGAACGTCACCTTGCCGGGCGCCAATTTCAACCTGGTGAATGCCATGCCGATTTCGCCCACTTGGTTCTCTAGACCCTTGGTCATTCAGATCGTGCAGTCCGAGAAAGCGGATAGCCTCTTCCTTCGATCCACCACATGTTTGACGAACTACGATGGTGTGACTGCCTTGCACACGGTCTTCAATGTAGCAGAGTACTTGGAGCATGGAAAATCCAAGCGCCCAGAGGAATACCTCACACTGCCCGCCTTCAAGACTGCCAACGAGAGGGTTGACTTTGATGAGACAAAGATGGCAGCACATGTGGACAACGTGTCAAAGCAGCAGGCAGCTGCGTAACCAAAACCAAAGCTCAAAGTGATAGGGGCCATCCAGTTTATTTTCCTCTCAGTTTACTGTTTTGGGGTTCTCTCTTGAGAACAACTTTCAGTCCTGGCTTGTTCACCCCTTGTCACGGTCCTTGTCCAGCTAGGTCGGTCGTGTTATATAAGAATCGTTTGGGGTATATTCTAGAATGTTTTGGTGACAGTGGTCCCCCAGGCAATTTTCCAGCATTGGACGTGGGAGGACGTCCTAGCAGATGGACTTCCTCCAAGTCCAGTGCGCAGCTGCTTCGAAGAACAGCTGCAGCTGCTGGAGCGGCGTCGCTTCGCCCAGAGCCAGAGCTCCTTCCAAGATTTTGTGGCAGTTGCCTCGGAGCCTTAGGAAGCAGAGAAGTTTTCTGAGTCTTCAGTTCTTTTTGTCTCGGACTTTTCGAACACTTTCGTGCTTCTTTCGGGTCCTTATTGACGTGGCCGGATTCGTTGGATGTGAGAGGACATCCAAGAGGTTGAAGTTGACGAACGTTGCGGCGACGGTAAACTTCTCCCGAAGTGTTGCCTTGGCGGAAGTGACAACGATGCAAGATGTCTTGGACCTGCAAGAGCGCATCGAGGGTATCTTTACCCCAGTGGGTGCGCCTTTGCCCATGAATTTGTCGCACGCAGAGGGGCTCTCTTACATGCTTTTTTGGAACAATTATGGACGTCATGATCCTAATCTGGAGATCCTAGAAGTCAAGGGCGCCTCGGGAAAGAGGATTAACTATTTTGCTATTGTTTCTTTTAGCTTGAGGCCGGAGGACATGTAATATATATATATATAAAATACATTTATAATATACAGTACACAATTCCTTTTTGATTATCACACACATACGTATACATACACATCGGATCTCATTTTGAACAAGCTGAAGGTGTCAGTTGGAATTGGACGGGCCTTTGCAAATGCTTCACTCCAGTTCTCATATGCACCATGGTCAATGGCAAGAACTATTTCATCACGAGCCTTGCGGAGCCGGATCATCAGAAATGCAAACCTCTTGAATTTTGGTGCTGCAACGCCAACACGATTGTTTTGTCCAGTTGTTTTGTGGGTTGCAGCATTCAGAGCCTGGAGCATTTTGTCGAGCATGATTAATGTGATCTTCCTATTCACTGTCTTGACCAGTTTGTGGGGTGTGTCCCTTAAGAATATTGAATCTTTTGGCTGAGGAAGACACGGTTGCTTGAGGTTGACTTCTAACTGCAAGACCTTGTGTCTTGCAACTCTCAGTGCTGCTGCAAATTGTCGCAAAGCGACGTTTTGCAACTTATTGACCGGCCGCGCCGGCAACGGTTGTACTACAACGCCTAAATCCGCCAATGAACAGCAACAAAAAAGCCACGACAGGCAATTGATTGAGTTCATGGAATTCGTTGGCACGCTTTTAAGCATTCCACGAGTCAATGAACTGCTCTCCTCAGCGATTTCAGGTGCCGAGATGTGAGTGGCGGCTGGGCGTCTCGCAGCTCTTCTTGAGAGCTGGGCAGCTGGCGAGTTTGGAGGAGCTGGTGTCTTGGAGCAGGATGTCGAGCTGGGAGAGAAACTAGTTAAAAGGGCGACCCCAAATCCTGTGAAATCCCCGAAGCCTGGCCCTAAGCCAGTTCACATCCTCCTGGTGGTCGTCCACTTTGCTTCACTGGGAGCTCGCTCTGAAACGGAAGGACGACCAGACGAGGCACCGAAGGGGCCGATTCTTCCAGGAGAGGTGATCCTAGGTCCTGGACTAAAGTGTCCATACGGGAACATCCCCAAGCCCATGAGACTGGTTCATATTCTATCTACTCCAGGATGATTATATGACATATACTGTATATTATATATACATAAAACCTATTTTTGGAACGCCTGCACATCTAGGCCTGGCTCCAAATACAAGATCCAGACAACCCGGCAGGTTCTGTGTCTATTGTCCCGTAACGGGGGTTTGGAGATGGTTCCCAATTTTTGAGCCATAGCAATGAAATCTATCCTCAAGGGAAGCTGGCAGGCCTGGAGTTGGAGCTGGCTGGAGTTGAGGAAAGATGCAGAAGAAATGGTAGAAGATGTGTTTGCAAGGTTGGGTGAGGATGTGGTCATAGGATGGGAGGCATTTGCCGTGGAATGCTGTGGGCTTTCTTCCATGTAGTGAGGCTCCTGGAGAGACTCCATTGCTCTATTCAGCCAGTTCAACCAGCATAAACTTGCATAAACATTGACAGGCTCTAAGTTCTTGAGGCACGTGTCCTCTTCTTCTCGTTCTCCTTCGTTTGGCGTGTCTTACCCCAAACAAGGATGACACTCCACCTCTTGACTCACATCTTGTCTCACGCCAGGAGCTCGCTGCTGAGGGCCCCCCTTGCCTGGATCCGGACCTCGTCGCGTCCGCGCGACGTGCGGCGCGCCGCGGCCGCTGGCGCCGTGCGCTGCTGGCGGCGCGGCTGCTGGCGCACTTCGCGGTGCGGCGGAGGAGGCGACGGAGGCGACGGATGAAGGCAGGCGGTTTTCCGGTTCTGGGATCGTCTTGATGGTTTTCTGGCCGGGCCCCGAAGCTGGGTCAATAACATGAACCGAATCCACCTGCTTCAGCGTGGGAAGATCTCGTGTGCCCCTCCGTGGTCCAAAGGATGCAGATCTGAGACTCTGGTCTTTCATGGTTCGACTGCAGGGCGGCAAGGTTCAGCAACTGTCTTTATTGTTAGACCACCTTAAGCACACATCAGCCTAAGGCTCTCTACAGTACCCGCACACAGACCAAAGATGAGTGTCGACACCCAGCTTTTTGTGGAGGGAGTGGAGGGTTCTTTTTCCACCGGCCGTGTGTATCTGCAGTAGGTGTGTCTCAGTCAGGCACCCCAAGACCTGGTACATCACATCGGCGTCACGTGAGTCGAGTGGAGGTTGTCGTCATCCAACATCTCCTTTCTCTCTCTCTCTCTCCCTCTCTCTAATATACATCATCCCAGCATTCAGGCCTCGTTTCTTGCGACGATTTTCCTCTGCCACCTGCAGCGCATCCTTCGCGACCGGCCTGCGCCCACACCGGCACCGGCGCCCGCAGCTGTGCCTGCGCCAGCGCCTCAGGCTCCGGTCCCTTCAGTGGACACCATTTGTGTTGCGCTGCCCCATGCCGAGCTGCCACGCAAGAGGCCTCGTCCGGTGGCGACGCCCATGTCGGGT